GCGCTTTCCGTAAAGAAAGTAGCCTACTAAAATTTGTACAAAGCCAAGTATAACGAAAGATCTCAGAAAATGCAAAAATCGATCTAAGTAAAAAACTTAGCTAAAAAAATGCAGGAATTGACCTAACTCTTATCGCTCTAGCACGAGGCGAGCCTCTACAGCAACTACCTGTCAGCCTGACACTCAAACCAAGTAGTAGCCTCACTCAGCCTCATGCAGGCCAAACCACAAGGGTAAGTACTCTCGCCACCCCAGGTCAAACTTTCCAAACAATAGTTCGTAACTTCTCAATACTTTATCCCCTTATACCCAGCTTACATAGGGCATAAAGTCAAGCCGTCCAATCTTATGGAACTGGCCTGACTCAGCCATTGAGTATACACGAACAGGTTGCACAACTACTTCTCTCTTCTTTTTGGGCATACGACTAGGCTGTCCATCTTCGAACAAGGCTTAGTCGCCCGGAACTGTTTAATATCCAACTTATATATACCTCTCTAAGCTTAGTGTTCAAAAGATGGGCATAGGACCGAGCCGTTCATCTTAGAACAAGGCCCGACCTGCCCAGGGTTACCTTCAATTATACTCTTAATTATACTCTCTTCATTTTATGATAAGCTATAGCCAGCCCGTCCAATCTTATGGAACTCATGCCTGAGTAGCCTGTTCATAAATAAGATAGTATAAAATATAGCCAATTTTTAACCTTTTGGGTTCCAGCATGTGCGAGGCATTTGGCCAGACCTTCCAATCTTATAGAACTGGTCTGGTCCTCTGCCAGGTTCGTTCCTCTCTGACCCAACTGTGTACGGCATGAGTCCAAGGCCGTCCAATCTTATAGACATGCCCTGCCCTCAGCAAGGATTATCCCCTCAGAATAAAACAAGAGGGGGGCTGAGCCGTCCAATCTTATGGACTTGCTCAGACCTCCTCGATCAGAAGCAAAAGAAGCAGAACAAACCCCAGTCAAACATGGCAACCAAACCCTCCAATTTTATGGTACAGGTTTGGCCCCTGAAAAGTCAGCCACAGTCAAACCCTTACAATTCAGAGCAATCAGACCGTCCAATCTTATGAAACTGGTCTGACTCTCCATGCAATTCAAAAATAAAACACAACGGTCAGACCGTCCAATCTTATGGAACTGGTCTGACCCCATAAGACCCTGCCGAGCTCAAGCAAAACCACCTTTCACCCACCCTTCCCCCAAATGCAACCTCTTGTGTTCACAATCTGCTTTCAGTCAATCAAGGAAACTGAAACTGCGATTGCACACACAGTCCTTTACTTAATCTGACTTGTCCTGCTCGTCCACTTTAGTCAAAATAAGGGAGCACGTGTTATACTCAGTCAAACATAGCAGGGTGTACAAGTAGGGGTTATACCAGGGTATTAGAGGGAACGCAAAAGGTTACCTTTCAATTCCCTGCCTCCAGAGCCTCGCCTAGGCTCCGGCAGAGCTCCCGCAATCGGTGGGGCGCACCTCCCACAGAGGCCTTGGCGCGGATTACGGGTTGCAATCCCGCCTGCCGCCTTCCTCTCAGAACCAGGAGACTAGTTTCAGAGTAAGAAGGGCAGAAAGAGACAGGTTTGAGACTCTCAGATCCAAGAAGGGTGCTCTCAGACTCGCACGGGAGGGCCTTGATACCTTCACTCACCTGAGGGCCCCACAATGATGGCCTAGTAGCAACTGCCTGGTCCGCCCAAAGTCAGCCGCCGACCCCCAACTCCTGTGACGATCCCTCAATTCGCAATACTAACCTCCCCTGTCAAGCCCAACCACTCTTTTGAGCCTCAACACACTCGTAGCCTGATCACCGTTACACAACAATCTGGAGCACCGACGGACTCCACCGAATCTCAGCCGACCACCATACGCTCACCACCCGTATGCAACCGCAAGGTGTTGTGGCCACATACGGCAGAAGCTTCACCATGCTGCCGCGTGGTTCAACAATCCGTCGGCAGCAGTTCCGCGGTCACAGCCCGGGACAGCCTGCGGTCACCGTACCAACCACCACATCCGCCTCACCAGGCCAAAGTCAATAAACGTACGAACTGTAGCGCAACAATCTAGTTGATCGCGATCTCACCCACACCCACGACTATCCCCACACTGCCCGCTGATAGGACGAGCACAACCGAATGAGTCTTCCACTAGACAATGAAGAGATACACACCTCTCAAAAGCCGCATCGCTGCTACGCCTGTCGTTGTGCCCATCCTTCTTGATCACAGTCAGAGGCGATCCCTCCCCCCTTATGTACTTTGGCCGATATCTAGGCTAGACTCGTACGTTCCTCGTCTAAGTCCTACATGGGGAAAGCGGTGGCAGCGTGAAGGTGAAGGCAACCACGGTTGTAGGCGAAGACAGTCTCGAAGGTGCAGGTAAGTGCACAGGCACATTTGCCGCCCCCACTCAAAACGGCGGTTTTGATTGTATGGCGGACGTGATTGAGGCGAGGAGCTCCACAAATAGTGGACTGACAAGGAGCTTAGGAACCCGATGACAATCGACGAGCTGCGACTATGAGGCACTCACTATGAACGCGGGGCTGTCGCTTACCAAGGGGGCGCCCTCCCTCAACAGCCGTGCCAGTGAGAATGAATCTTCCGCTAGAACGCAGTAAGATACATTCTCTCTTCAGGCCGTTTCCTCCTCCGATATCCTTCTCCACTGCTACGCAATCCTTGACCCTCGTAGTATCCTACCCTTTACTCAAGCGATCCACCAACTCACAAAGAAGGAATAAGAATGAAATTTTCCCCGAAACAGGGAAAAGTACATTCGAACTTTTGCACTTATATTCCCACACGCATCTTGTATCCCTCATAGTGCCACTATTACTACTTTGCTTCCAATTTCAATCGCGCCATCTCGCTCGCCTTGCCATAGAACCCGCGAGTACGATCTCTCCCCGCCCGTTTCCATCAAGGATCGGACGGTTTCTCTCACTTTCTTTCTCCCGTCTACACTCCCCTCCGCCATGACCCAGCGCACCTCCTATTCCCACTGACCTCTATCCTACTAATTCTTTCGCCTATCTAACTTCAGATCCGGGGTCGCCCATCTGCAAAACCCCCGATTTGAGTCTCTGATCGCCCGTTTTCATTCAGTAACGAGTGAGATCTCTGATCTTGAGGCTCCCCTTCGCCTCCTTCCCGACATCGCCACGCACCCCCTTTTTCTACTAGCACCTAGTCCACTAACTTTCTATTGAAACTGACAACGCCACCATGCTCACAATAGCCAAAAACCCCCGCCTAACACCAAAACTCCTTCGATTCCATTGGGAATCGAGCGAGCTCGTCAACACTCCTTCCGCCACTACCACCTTCTCCTCGTCCCCAACTCCGAATGCACCCGGGCGCGGTCCCGGGCCTGGTTCATTCCCCACCCCACCTCGTCTCTCTCCGGCCCTTGCCTCTGCGCCCGGCTCCCCTACACCGCGCAGTCGGCCGCTTTCGACTCCCTGGCCCCGCTGGCTCGCTATAGTGCGACCGCCTCGCCCCGCCCGCTGTAATTAGCGCAGCCCGCAACAACCCCTGCTCTCTTGCTTTCCCCACCCGTGCTCACCATCTCCGACTCCCTTGCCCCGTGTGCACCCGTCGCAGCCTTCCGCCCACGTTCACTCTCCCCCATTGCTGCTCCGCTACGCCCACCTGTTGTCGTCAACCAGCGTTACACTTCAACCTGAGAGCGCAACTCNCTTTGGCCGATATCTAGGCTAGACTCGTACGTTCCTCGTCTAAGTCCTACATGGGGAAAGCGGTGGCAGCGTGAAGGTGAAGGCAACCACGGTTGCAGGCGAAGACAGTCTCGAAGGTGCAGGTAAGGGCACAGACACATTTGCCGCCCCCACTCAAAATGGCGGTTTTGATTGTATGGCGGACGTGACTGAGGCGAGGAGCTCCACAAATAGCGGACTGACAACGAGCTTAGGAGCCCGATGACAATCGATGAGCTGCGACTACGAGGCACTCACTATGAACGCGGGGCTGTCGCTTACCAAGGGGGCGCCCTCCCTCAACAGCCGTGCTAGTGAGAATGAATCTTCCGCTAGAACGCAGTAAGATACATTCTCTCTTCAGGCCCTTTCCTCCTCCGATATCCTTCTCCACTGCTACGCAATCCTTGACCCTCGTAGTATCCTACCCTTTACTCAGGCGATCCGCCAACTCACAAAGAAGGAATAAGAATGAAATTTTCCCCGAAACAGGGAAAAGTACATTCGAACTTTTGCACTTTTATTCCCACACGCATCTTGTATCCCTCATAGTGCCACTATTACTACTTTGCTTCCAATTTCGACCGCGCCATCGCGCTCGCCTTGCCATAGAACCCCCGACTAGGATCTCTCCCCGCCCGTTTCCATCAAGGATCGGGAGGTTTCTCTCACTTTCTTTCTCCCGCCTACACTCCCCTCCGCCATGACCCAGCGCACCTCCTATTCCCACTAACCTCTATCCTACTAATTCTTTCGCCTATCACTTCAGATCCGGGGTCGCCCATCTGCAAAACCCCCGATTTGAGTCTCTGATCGCCCATTTTCATTCAGTAACGGGTGAGATCTCTGATCTTGAGACTCCCCTTCGCCTCCTTCCTGACATCGCCACGCACCCCCTTTTTCTACTAGCACCTAGTCCACTAACTTTCTACTGAAACTGACAACGCCACCGTGCTCGCAATAGCCAAAACCCCCCGCCTAACACCAAAATTCCTTCGATTCCATTGGGAATCGAGCGAGCTCGTCAACACTGCTTCCGCCACTACCACCTTCTCCTCGTCCCCAACTCCGAATGCACCCGGGCGTGGCCCCGGGCCTGGTTCATTCCCCACCCCACCTCGTCTCTCTCCTGCCCTTGCCGCTGCGTCCGACTCCCCTACACCGCGCTGTCGGCCGCTTTCGACTCCCTGGCCCCATTGGCTTGCCCCGCCCGTTGTAATTAGCGCATCCCGCAACAGCCCCTGCTCTCTTGCTTTCCCCACCCGTGCTCACCATCTCCGACTTCCTTGCCCCGTGTGCACCCGTCGCAGCCTTCCGCCCACGTTCACTCTCCCCCGTTGCTGCTCTGCTACGCCGACCTGTTAGTGTTACACTTCAACCCGAGAGCGCAACTCGGCTCGATAACGCACCAGCGCGCGTTGTATGCCTGCGAGGGATCCAATGCAACGAAAAAAAAAAAAAAAAAAAAAAAAAAAAAAAAAAAAAAAAAAAAAAAAAAAAAAAAAAAAAAAAAAAAAAAAAAAAAAAAACTTTTCCGCTTTATGCGTGTTGCCCCCCCTCCCGGCACTACCAGCCTCCACTATATCGTTCCAGTCCCTAACGGGTGCCCCTCCAAACTTTAGCCGGGGTAATGCCTTGAGGCGATAACAACGACCGCTCGGCCTTTCTACCCGTTCCATCCTCCTTAGCTCGTACGCACCCGGCGCGACCTGCGTCCGGGTTCATTTTTTTTTTTTTTTTATCTCTGCGCACCACCCTTGCGCAGCGGCCGATGTAACTTTCCCTATATTATTTCAATTCTAACAAATGTCCTGAAGGACCAAGCCGCCATAGTACCCCACCTGCGGCTCTCCAAAATTCGAACAACCAGTTGCAAAAAAAAGATCCTGAGCCAGATGCGGGGCTGCTGATGCCCTACCGGTCCCCTGGGTCAGGTCCGTTGCCGCGTCCATTAACAAAACCGGAGGGGATAGCCCCGTCGGGCCCTCAACCCCTCGTTTTTTTCCACAACGCTCCGCCGCTCCATCATCGCCGCATGCTGGCCTCGATCCCCGTGTCTTCATGGCAATAGTCCGACATCGTAACCTATAGGGCTAAGCCCAAGCCTGAGACAATTGGGCGCGGATTTCCATATGAAGTGATGCCGCGCCGTGCCTAGCCTTGGAAACAACAGCCTAGGCCTTTCCTCTCCTACCGCGGCCGGCGCGCCAACACCAGGCCCCCGCCCCAGCCTACTTAGACCGCGCCGTGGCCACCTCGCACGCCACCCTGTGCGCCAATCCTACCGACGGTCGCGCATGCCAACCCAGGGACGAGCTCTTACTCCTCATCCAAGCCATAGCATGGTCCGGGTCGGTCGACTAGACCGGCCGCTCACTCAATCAGAAAAAATCACACGCGCGCCTTAAAACTGCGCGCCCACATACCCTCTAGCTTAGTCAGGACAGGTCCTGGACGCGGCCGCACCTCGCCCGACTTATGCCGACCAAACCTATTTTTTTTTCTGTCATTTGCAAAAACCAGGGCGGATACCCTTGTAAGGGTATTCGCGCCGACATCAGTGTGACAAGTACATCTAAAGCGATCCGTCCCCTTATATTGTGGATGTCGTCGAAAGAGAAGTTGAATGGCGGGAGAAATCCTCTTGCCAACAGTGACATATATGTTAGCATAAAGACACCACATTCGTTAATGCCGCGCTGTCTTGGAATGCCTGACACATTCCATATGTGGTTGAAATCTTTTGTATCCACCACATTTCCCTATTCAACCGATCTTTCGAACAAGAATCTTGCGAAACCACCTGTCACTTTCCTTGCCAATTCTTTATCAGGCGTAAGTGAGTCGTAGTACTCCATTTTTTGGCGCCTTAGGTCAGCTATTACTAGTGTCCAATGGTTGGAATTCCGGACATGGAATGAAGCTATTATTAAGTCCACGTCACCCACATCGATATCTGTCATCCACTTCTGCACTGCGCTGTATTGGTATTGCATGTCGTCGTCGAACAATTTCGCGAAGAAGAAGGAACTAGAATTGTTGTTATCGGGATGCGCCCTTTTCCTTCTACTACTGTTCCGTCTTGTCCACTATCATATTCGCGATGGCTTATGCGACACATTTTGTCAAGCCTTACGAGGTTCAAATAAAAGTTAACTATTTCGTTGTTTAACCAATTGCCTTAATACAGTATCAAGCTCAAATCATGCCCGGTTACTATTAGTTCTTCTTTTGTTGACCCGTTGTACGTGGATGTCCAGACCATCCGATTCTCCGCTTCCACTGAATCTCGTAAATGTTGCACCGCAGCCGTCTCCTTCTCCGATAACTTATCCGTTGCTAAGTGGATCGTCCATCCCTGTTTGCATCTTCGTTATGTTCCTCCTTTCTGCACATGACAATGCATTATGCCGCAGCGTAAGCTATCGTGATCGGGGCCTGCCATATTTGCATGCTCGAAACGGCGGAGAAAATTTCAATTGCTAAATCATGGCAACAGGATACTATAGCGAGTTGACATGAATACCCCGACCTCCATCTTCCTCGTAATATAGCGCATAACACAACTACAATTCTTGCCTAATTTTCGTGTACTTTTTGAAAGTAAATTGATCAATGATACTTTTCGCAATCTATGATGGTTAACGGTAACCCTGCTTCCATCAGTTCTCTGATGTTCATTTTCAATACTTTGGGCAGTATTTAGAATATAAGTTCACTATTCCAGCCTTGCTATTTCACATATTTTCGTGTTTTTTTTTTTTTGTTTTGTTAGTATGGTTTCCTGTTTTTAAGTTCGTGCGGATTTAGGTTAAGACGACCATTCACAGCGCCCTAGAAGATGGCATAACAATTCTCTGAAATTAGAGGTGTCCTTGACACATGATAGGCAAAGTGCCCCATATAGTGTGTTATCATATGCCTTTATTATAAAACCGTACCAAACACGCACATACAATTTAATCCACACACAGAACCTAACGCTGGTGACGAGTCGACCTCTGCCTACTCACACAGATGCACACACACTCACACACACACACACACACACACAC